CCGACCTCGGCCCGATCCTAAACTGACCCACGAAACTCAGCCCCCAAACCCAACACCGAAACTAACCCCGAAAACCCTGAAACTCACAACTTCCCTGAAATCACCGCTGAGCCCACCCAATCCCAAAGCTGAAGTCATCAGTGGGAGATCCTGCTCCAAAGGACCTCGTCAGAAGATACCTGGCTTGCCTGCAAGTGCAACCAGGGCTCATTCGGCGAGTGCCTCTAATTCCGGTGTTGGTAACCTCGGCTACCCGAACTGAATTGGTCGTGGCAGCAGCAGCAGCAGGAGCTGGAGCCCTACTCCTATGCGCGCGGCTAATTACCCTACCCTAAAAACCCTGAACCCAACCTGAACCCTAAGTCTAAACTCGATAATCCCTGGGCCGATGCGCATAGTTCTCAGCCATGTGAGAAGGAAAAGAAACTAACACCTGAAACCCTCGAACATGCGCGCACCGCCCGCGCGCGAGCTCGCCATTTAACCTTACCCTTTTCGCAACAGGCCTCGTTGTCCAGCAGTCTAGCTAAACACACACCTTACCCGAAACCCGACTCTCTAAACCCAAACCCCGAAACCCTGTACACCCTCAACTGCCCGCGCAACCGTAAACACTTAATCCCCTGAACCCAAACCCAAACCCTGAACTGGGAGTGCCGCTAGACCCCTAAGCCCAACCCGGCGCGCGTAATCCTAAACCCTGAACCCCCAAAACCCTTTGTGCTGCAGGCTTGCATGCAAGAACGCCGTCAAAAATTCTGAAACCCTAAAACCTGAACCCTAAACCCAAACCCCAAACGATGCACGCTGGGGGTTCGGGCGTTTGGGGGGGTTTGTTAAGATGACCAAGATTGCCAAAATGACGGCACCCCCCCCTCCCCCCCAAAAAAAAGAACCGCGAAAAGCTCGATTACCAAGACGACCAAGATCACCAACATGAAGTGTAACCTTGCCCCCCACCAAGCTGCCCAGGATTACGAAATGAAGTAGTGGTTCTCGATTCCCGGCACAACGTAGTTGCAGTCGTCGTCGGTAGTAGCGATAGTAGTAGCAATAATAGTAGTAGTAGTAGTAGTAGTAGTAGTAGTAGTAGTAGTAGTAGTAGTAGTAGTAGTAGGTGTAGGAGTAGTAGTAGTAGTAGTAGTAGTAGTAGTAGTAGTAGCAGTAGCAGTAGCAGTAGTAG